AGGCTTGGATGAGTTTGGTTCGTGTTGTCGACATGTTGAGAAAACACTGTTTTCTGTCCTGCGAGAGTAAATCCACTTTGCATGCACTTCCAAAGGATGAGGACCTGGGCTCGAATTGATCCGGTAAAACTGACGCCATTTTTACTGTTCATATACAAGTGCTGAGCTGAAATTCAGATATGGTAATTGCCGTTTGATTTCCGACACACTTTGTAAGCGGTAGACCAATCACAACAGACTGGGCCATCTGACCAATCAGAGCAGAGTAGTCTCTCGGAAAGGAGGGGTCTAGAGAGACTGCAATGTATATTATGTGAAAATCACTGGTTTTTTTTACCTTGAATGCATGTAAATCTATTGTAGGAGTCCTTCGAAACTAAATTAGGAACCTCTTAAATAGCATAGGGGCACTTTAAGTAAGTGTACAAATTAAGTAAGTGTTTGTATTTGTGTGTGTTTAGTAATGACTGTGTACATGTGTGTAGAATCCGCTTCCAGAGCAGGAGGGTCCCTCCACAGGGTCTATGTCCAGTTTTGAGCTGATGAGCTCTAAAGATCTGGCCTTCCAGATGACCCAGTATGACTGGGAGCTTTTCAGCTGTGTACATGAGGTAAAGTTGCACATATAGTGATACACACTTACACACAAATGACGTTTTTAATTTACAAAACGTGCAGTTTGATTGTGTGTTTGTGTGCAGTATGATACACACAAATGACGTTTTTAATTTACAAAACGTGCAGTTTGATTGTGTGTTTGTGTGCAGTATGAGCTGGTGTATCATACGTTCGGACGGCAGGCATACAGACGCTCCACTGCAAATCTGGAGCTGTTTCTGAGGCGCTTTAATCAGGTGCAGCTGTGGGTGGTCACAGAGGTCTGTCTGTGCGGGACGCTCAGCAAACGGGTACAGCTGCTCAAGAAGTTCATCAAGATTGCCGCCCAGTGAGTTCTTCAGCGCACATATACTGAAAAACTTTGGATCTGATTCGATGCATTCAAAACACATGTGTGTGCTGTGCATTTATTCCCTCAGCTGTAGAGAGTTTAAGAATCTGAACTCTTTCTTCGCCATTATCATGGGCATGTGCAACCCAGCCGTGAGCAGGCTCAGCCAGACGTGGGAGGTTAGTGCCATATTGCACAAATGAGTCTATTTGAAAACATATATGCCATAATGACAATATGACAAACATAAAGGTCTTTGCAAATATGAATATTAATGTGTCAATGGGCATATTTTTTCCCTTTTTTTAATAGAAACTACCTAGTAAGTTCAAGAAGTTCTACGCAGAGTTTGAAAGTTTGCTTGTGAGTCGATTTCAAACTTTTTGAATTCCTGCACCGTCCCTATAGAAATGATTCTATGATTCAGACAGTCATTGATCATTAAACTTTGATTTATTTGTTGCACTCAGGATCCATCCAGGAATCACCGCGCATACCGCCTCACTGTGGCTAAGATGGAGCCTCCAATCATTCCCTTTATGCCCCTTCTCATTAAAGGTGTGGGGAGGGCCTAGCCCCAATTTTCTTAATAATATTTACTGGTTGTCTCATAGTTCTAGTCTACAGCATGAAATGTTTTTTTCTCTTATCAGACATGACATTCACTCATGAGGGGAATAAGACTTTTATTGATGGACTGGTGAACTTTGAGAAGATGGTGAGTATGTTTCTGGTATATATGCAGTGTTATTGTAATATTATACTATTGTATTTTGAATTAGAGTTTCATCTTTTATTATTCAGGTTTCATTTAAATTTTGCACACGTTTTTCTTCTTTTTTTTTTTATAGTTCTATTTATCTTGGTCATTTTAGTACTTAGCAACCCTAACCCTGCCTTGTTTTATTTCAGTTAGTTAGCAATGCAAAAAGTTTCATGTTAATTTATTATTTTTTTCCAGCTAATATTTATATTTTATTTTATTTCAGCTTTTTCAACAACAACACTGGATCTGTGACATATCTGCACCACTATCTGACCAGCTAGAACATATTTATATTTATACATTTTTCTCTCCTCAGCGGCTGATTGCAAACACAGTCCGGGCGGTGAGGCACTGCAGGAGCCAGCCCTTTAGTGAGTCATCTACACACTAATGCTTTCTTTGTGGTCCTAATTCATTTCTCATGGTACTGCCTATTAAAAAGCTACATCCCAGAGACTGCTCAATCATATCATATTCATAACAATCTGAGGTTAGGTATTTGGGAAAACATATCTAGCCATGTCTAGAGGTAAAATAGCAGGGGTCCATATTAAATCACAACAAATGTATAAATGTATGTATACAAAATATTGTAAAAATATCCCATTAAGTTGATGGTAAGAAAACTGGCAGCTGTGGCTGCCAGAAATTCACAGTAAAGAAAAAAAAAAGTGACATAGCAACAAAAAAATTCAGTATTTTGCTATGGCATGTTGGTGCCTGTATATTTTTCAACTTATAGCCATATATTTCATTAATTGATGATGTTAATATACCAAAATCTGCTTTTTACCTTAAAATGTACTGATAACCAGCATAATAATACAGGTACAATAGAAAGTCACATGATGAATCAAAGTTCGTCATAAGTGGCCTTTCCATAAAACATGACCCTTACTCGTACAGATGATGCATAGGGTCACAGAGTATATTCAAGTCCATTTCATAGTGTGTTACAGTATTCCACACTGTGTGCTGTATACATGAATTACTCATAAAAGTTTGGCAAGTGCAAATAGCGATAGATGAAGTGCACATAGCATGAAAGTAGCAGTATTTTCTTCACACTACATTTAAATAAATAGTTGTTAGATGCTATTTATACTTAGTGCAAAAAGTGGCAGATACTAATTTTGCACCTGTGTATTGTAGTATATTGGGACATTACTTGTCCCTGTTCCTATAGTCCTAACCCTACCCGTTAAACACTTTATTCCTACTATAAAATACCCGTAAGTCACTTTATTTCTGCTTTTCAAATATTTTCTTAAGTTTTATTTTAAATAAACTCCTGATATGGGATGGGAAAAGGGAGAAGTATGAGTTAGGAAAAAGGCGGATTCGAACTCGGGTCAGTCGTGACTCGTGTCAAAAGTTAGCGCCACCCGCCTTACGCTCGATGCCACTGATCCTGTTATCAGTCAGATTTATTTTTTTATTTAAAGCCTCTTCCAACAAAGCAGGCTATTTGCTCTTGTTTAGACACAATGTAAAAGGCTTGGTTGTTTAAACATTTTGTTCCTACCTCCCACAGATGCCGAGGCATTGCCAGCCAGTAAGAATCCACAGGAAGTGAGGAATTACGTACGTCAATTGAATGTGATTGACAACCAGAGAACCTTATCCCAACTGTCCTTCAGACTGGAGCCAAGACGGGGCTAAAGACCAATGCTCAGACTTTCTTTCTCTTGCTTTCCCCCCTCTCTCTTTGAAATACAACCACTGCATATCCAGTTTACTATAGTATAACTCAATTTTACATCTATCAGCTGCCACAGCAGTTGAATGCCGACTGTATGTGCTATCACTGCCAACTGAACTACATGTACGAGATGCATTTTCATGTGTGTGTGTGTGTGTGTGTGTGTGTGTGTGTGTGTGTGTGTGAGTGTGTTGCATGTTAATGACTTAAGTCATAAGAGCTACCTTGACATTGTGTGTCTGGGTATGTGTGTGTGTGTGTAAAACCAGAATGCACTTGGTCAAGGTCTGTATCCATAGATTCAGTCATATGAGGCCCTAGTTTATTCCCATGATACAACATTAATCTAGAACACTGAAAACCTGCTGCCTGTACTCAAGCCTGCATTTCTATGATCCTACGAAGCCTTCAGAACAATCCTAAAAATAAGAGTTTACTACAAGCTATCGTGTATACAAATAACAGTGACACTAGGATCATTTGCCAGCCACAAAAAAAAAAAAAAAAAAAAAAAATCAGTGGTAGGCTACTCCGTAAAACCTTCCAGGCCTCAAGGTCTTGTGGTATGTTGTTTCAAGTCATATAAAAGTCAGTATTCTGACTCAAGGACTATTTTTTACCACTGGTAAAATTGTGTGCTAGTAACTTACATTACCTCTCGCCATAGCCTGTAGCATTGATGTCATTTTGTATATTGAGTTATATATGTATATTTTTGGGTTGGACCCATTTTGCTAAGTTATCATAATCGGTCTGAGAAGGCCTTTGTTTTTTCTCATCCTGCCTTTTGGAAAGTGAGACGCTGTGTGTGTGTGTGTAGGGCACTTATTTTCTTTTAAGAAAATGTCCATGCCTACCTTGTAAATAGTATAATCTAAATAAATGTACCGTTGAACACTTTCTGTCGGTGTGATTGCACTTCTCACTCGCCTTTATGTCTTCTGTCTTTTTTCTGTTTTGCTCTTATTTCTTTGGGAAGAAAAAGGATTAGTTCACCTAAAATGGAAATTCTGTCATCATTTACTCCCCCTCATGTATTTCAAAACATGTATGGCTTTAATTCATCAGAGGAACACAAACAGAGTTTAACAGATTTTAAACAGTTTAAAAGAATTTTCATTTTTGGGTGAACTAACGTTGTATGCTTAACAGAACAATAGTTCATGTATATTCAAATGCTACATTAAAAAGAATAGACATATTGCCACATGACTGGGCTGGTGGAAAGTTTTGCAGGTACAGATTCATTCATTTGCATTTTCATGTTTTATACCCTGTCGCTGTCTGTCTGTCCGTGTAGAGGCGCTATTGTCATCAAATTTGTGACAGTATCAATGCTCAAGAACTGACGAATTCTACTATGGTAAATATAGGTTTAATGAATATTAATTAGGTAACGTGCCGACTGCCTATTACGCCATTGGCTGAAGTGCCAGTGGGTGGGCGCTAATCTGACGAATAAACGAATCGCAGTTTGACTCATGAATATTAATTAGGATACGCATTAGACGCTCCAATGTGTTTACCACGTAAAGTCTTTTTGTCGTAGTTAATATTCATAAGCCAATCCTTTACCGTAGTAGGATTCATAATTTGTCCACTGGTCCAAAGCGAGTGTCCTCTTATGGAAGTGCAGTAACACGAGACAATGAGGCTCCGCATATTATCTTATGACTGGGATTGTTCAGAGAGCGACAGGCCAGCGCGTTTCACCGGACCGCACGGAAAACACGACTAACAGGTAGGAAAGCACGCTTTTACATTTTAATCAGAATACACGTTATGCTATGTATGTGTTAAAAATAAATATAACATTATTGGAGAGAGTTTTAACTCTGCGGCTGATCTCGTGTTTGACGACTTCAGGAGAATGTGACATAATGTCTGTCACTTAGCCCATGTTTTTGCTTTCCAAAATCTCCACAAGTATTCCAAAAAGTCTCCAGAACAGTGTTGAGCATGTTACTTAAAAAAAGTAATTAGTTATAGTTACTAGTTACTTCTCACAAATAGTAACTGAGTTCGTAACTGAGTTACATCATTATAAAAGTAACTAATTACCAGAGAAAGTAACTATTGCGTTACTTAAAAAAATAAAATAAATCAAATAGGCCTATGTCAAATAATTTGGATGCCCCCAGTATTAAATATGTTAAATTAATGAAATGGACACTTAATAGTGTAGATTAGTGTTCAATGTTTTATAATAATAATTTATTCTATTTTAATGTTGCTGTGGGACAATGTGAGAGACGCCTATTAAATTCAATATATTATTCTAAATATTAGCATTACTATGGTAGAACAATAAAACATTATAGATGGTTTACTTAATATCGCACAGACCCCAACTGGCCAACAAATAAGTTTAAAAATAAATTATGCTTCTTAAGAAATGTACCAAAAATGAATAAATAATAATAAAAAATATACATACTCTTTGTGCATATTAAAATGATAAAACTGTTACACAACTTCACAACTAGTAGACATACTGTAGCCTGAGTATTTTCTTCCTAACAAAAGTAAACAGTTTAACAAGTGCTCTCTCAATATAATACTGAACAATTTACCAAAAAAAAATATAATACTAAAATATAATATTTTGGGGGTTTATTTTTATAACCTATAGCGAACGTCATCATCAGAGGTTATTTAAGCCAAATTCTAGACATGTTTGCCGCACGTGTTTACAACCGGTCAAACAAAGATGTTTTCTGTGAATGTTCCCTGCAGGTTATTTTCGGGTTTATTTTATAACCTAAACAGAACGTTACCTGACGGTAATTTTTTTGATTTTATTTGTATAACCATGTAAATTAATTAACGTTGCAGATATGTGTCATTTATTTATAAACAAACTATATAATGCTCGGACACCCTCGGTCTCTCTTGCGCAACTGTTGAGCGCGCTCTCGGACACACTCGGTCTCTCTCGCGCATTGAGCGCGCTCGCGCCAATCGCTTCGCTTTTGTCCACTCCGGCGCCTCATAAACACACACACACACACACACACACACACACACACCAGAGAAAAAAACTTTGCAGGTCCTATGGCGGAGAGAGAGCCTACTCGGATGAAAGCCGCTTCAGTGAGTTCAATTATAGTAACGCCACATTTTTTTTTGTCAGTAACGGTAACTGCGTTGTAACGGGGGAAACAGTAATTCGTTTGATTACTCGTTACTGAAAAAGATAACGCCGTTAGTAACGCCGTTTATTTATAACGCCGTTATTCCCATCACTGCTCCAGAATGATTTAAAAGTATTCCAAACTCTTCCAAAGTAACATTAAGTGAACATGAAATGGTGGTGAATTAAAAGTAGGCTAATAAACTTAAGAGCAACAACAACAACAAAATTTACAAATTGCTTTACACAGAACAAATGCATATGGACACAGACGATGAAATACTATAAATGAATGTTTTATCTGAAAGTATATTCTTTGCACAGTTAATATTTTAAACATTAGGATGTTGTTTTTAGCAATAAATCAAGTCAGAGGTATGAATGAGCTGTTTCTAGTTAAGAATAGTCGAACGTGTGACACACTTGCCTTCTGTTGGCCCCTGATGTCACAGCCAGGGGCCACAGAGATGATATGCGGGTTGTTTTTAGCGACTGGGCGCTCTTTAAGTGATAGATACTGTGTGCGGGACGGGTATAGGCGGTATATAGCTTGTTCTCTCTACACCGGGGAAACCAATCTGAGGTTAGGTCATAGATTTCAGGAAAGAGTGACGCATGTACTAGTAATGCATAAGATACCAGACCCCCATTTCCACTAACTACAACTACATCAGAGTTTACTACATTAGAGGTGAAAGAAAACATGAGGCTGGTGGGAAAGAATTCCATGAACATTAATTTATACACGTGCACTCCTGGATTTGGAAAAACGATCAAATACAGACACATTCAGCCGGTGTTTGTTGCAAACTGTTGCAGCACACTTTATGGTTATTTGACATGACAGCTCAAGCAGTAACAGATATCCTGCAGTGGGATTTATAAATATTTGAAACAACATTTTTTTTCTTATTCTTGCACTCATGTAGCTTTTATAACCCCACTGAGAGACTACAAGGAAAATTTGTACTTATAAAAAATTTGCAGGACTTTTTTAAGTCAACTGCAAAAAAAACAACGAATATACTTCTAATAAAAATGGTTCTAATCAGTACCGGATTAGGGTTCTTGTAACAACTTGTAACAATAATAGAAGCCTTTTTGGTGCTGAATAGAACAGTTTTCATAAAGAACCATGTTTTGAAAGTGGTGTTTAGAACCTTAATGGTGTTATAAAGAACATTTCTGAACAGTTTATTTTAGCGTGTGTGTGTGTGTGTGTGTGTGTGTGTGTATATATATATATATATATATATATATATATAAGCAATCAGACTTGCAACTGTTGCTTGGTGAATAGTGATATAGTAAAAATCCCACACACTTCCATTGATTGTAAGGTTCATGACCTCAGAATATAATAGAGCAGTCGAAACCCTGTATGGCCCCCGTCATAATCGGAATATCATAGACATGGGAAATCTTGGAAAAATAATCAGGCCGACTCCAACATTGTGACAGAAAGTTCTTGACAAGCAACATGAGTTATATATATCCATATCCATTTTTTTGGCTCCCTAGTTCTTCATGGCTGCCTGCAATTGTCAGTGCAAAAACACCTCAACAAGTGCTGAACTTCCTGTCTTCTCCAGTTTTCAGTTCAATAAACCACAGTTCAGAGTTTCCAGAGCATTGTTAAATTTGATTATGGATTATAGTTCAAAATTATAGTCAGATGGTTACATTTCCCCTATTTATTATTATATTCTTCTGGTGTAGCCTAGAAATCTAGACGCACCCTAGCGGCAGCAACATTTATTTTGCAGCCATTGTGGTCTAGCAACTCTCCGTTGGCTTTCGAGCTGGAAAAACCAAACTCTGGTCAGGCCAATCACATCGTGTATACAGTTGGTGGGCGGGCTTAACATAATGACGGCAGAGTTGTGACGGTTCCGTGTGATTTCCCTGCTACTTGAAAACAAAGAAGATGTTGCTGCTGCTGGCGAACAGCGGTCTTTCAAATCAGCTTTGGCCGTCACTCTGGAGGACTTAAGAGAAGTTAAGAGAACGTCACTTAAGTCATTCTTAAAAAAGTAAGATGTGTTCAGAGTTTTGACGACCGGATACCCTGGTGTGAAAACGCATGGGACTCACTAATCCACAGCCGTTCGTTGCTCTGGTTGGTTGTGGCGCTATCCTATTGCGTGTGCAGAGGATTTTGAAAGACAACCGTTTATCCCGCCCCTCGGATTAAGGCATGCCAATGGTGTGTTCCCTGACCTAACATCTTGATGTGGGTCTGGCTTGCCAGGCTACTTCTGGTGTATATTTGTAGGATGTTTTTTACTTTGTGTAAATAGCAATCCCTACTCTCTATTTTAACAGTAATCCAAAACATTACAGTAGTTGTTTTCATCCCCCAACCTCTCTATTCTGTCTATTGTTGTGTTCTCATAAAGCCTGTAAAGTAGTGTAGACAAAAGTGGCAGGAGTCCTTTTGCAGATGTAGCAGAATACACTGAAGGACTGAAGGCAGATACAAGCCAAGTCATCCTGCAGTTATGTGAGCATGTTAGCATTATTACACTTCTGGTTCCATCGTCCTCAAGTCAGTGAGTTTTTTCGGATGAGTTCTTGTTTAAATGCCTGAAATAAAGGTGGTGAACACAAGCTCAAGACATTTTCACCTTTTATTCTACGACATAAAATACACCAGTAATACTCCACTTGTGATTTAAAAAAGAAAAAAGCTTTTACTAATAAGTCACTAATAAGTGGTTAAATGTGACTACATCGGCGGTCATTATACATCAGCACATCGAACAGGAAAACTCAACACACAGCTTCATTGATTCAAACTCTTAATAGTGGCGATGCTGAAGTCATGGTGTAGTTTGTTTAGCCTATATCTTAAAGTCACCATGAATTCAAAATTGACAATTCTTTTTTTTTATGGAATATTCTAGTCTTTATTTATTTATTTATTTTATATCAAGTACAGGAACTTGCTACTGCAATACATACACCAATATGCTGCTGAAAGACATATGGCTTCAGCACAAATAGCATATATAAAAATAATTACCCGTGGTAGATATATACAGGTGGCGCTGGGGAAGGTGGAGGCTTTCAGAAGAACTCTGAAAGCGCGCAGCAAACTGTTATAGTAAACGCCAGAGGCGGACAGAGTACTGAGCTTCATTACTTGAGTAAAAGTACAGATAGCCCTTGCTAAATTTTACTCAAGTACAAGTAAAACTACTACAGTCAGATGTCTACTTAAGTAAAAGTAGTCAAGTCAAGTCATCTTCATTTATATAGCGCTTTTAACAATGGACATTGTTTCAAAGCAGCTTTACAGAGATAAACATGCAATTTACGGTAACAGAGATTGTTTTGGCTTTATAGCGATTTTTGAATAATGTTATTTCCAGCTAAAGTTGGTTTTGATTGATTCACTTCCAGCAAAATTATCGTTTGTTATTACATTAGGGGCCACTAAGACGACGGCGTTCTCTCTAAACAGACTTTAAATGCGAACCTGTGACCTGATGGTGTTCACATGCGCATTAAAAATGTATTTTATAGTTATATTCGTTTGAATATGTGTGCGCAGGTTTGTAATTTCCCTACAAACCATGCCTAAACAAACTACTTCTTGCCTATAAATTTGATACAGAATTTTATTTTATCACTTCGGGGTACACGAACCGGATTTTCAACAATGCTTTATCTGTAGAGTGGGAAAGGGATCAGGGAAAAGTACTGAAGTACTTGTTTTTAAAAGTACTTGAGTATCAAGAGTACATTTTCTAAATATTGCATTACTACTGCCACAGTGCTTACATTTATGTACAGAAACGTCCTACATGGAGTTATGAAAAATGTTAATGTTAATACCTTGGAGAATGTAAAAGGAATTGAAAGTAAAATCAAGTCATTTTCATCTTTTTACCATGTTGCTTTAATCCGCAAGTTGGAGGATGAATTTTTGTAGGCGGTGATGAAGGTCTGTTTTGGTAAACACAGCAAACTCTTTTAGCGAAAACTATCATTAACTTGTTCAGAAAATTGAAATAGTCTGGCGAGGTGGGGCCACGGGTTGGCACATTCCCGGGATGGACCTGCTGTGTCTTCATCCATTGTTTCGTCCATGGTTTCGTCTCTTATCTAAATCTGACCATGGAGTTGACTTTGGCGGAAAGCTGAAGGTGATTGATGATAGGCTGTCCCAATCAGTGGCGTCTGCACAATCCAATCACGTTTGAGAGGGAAACAACAAATTGAGGGTGTCCGAGATTTTTCTTTTTTCCTTTTTTTTTTTTTTAGAAGAAGTAACGGGTACTCAAGGTTATGGATAGAAATGTAGCGGAGTAAAGAGTACAATATTTGCGTCTCAAATGTACTTGAGTAAAGTCATGAGTACTCCCCAAAAATGATACTTGAGTAAAGTACAGATCCCTCAAAATTGTACTTAAGGACTGTACTCAAGTAAATGTACTCTGTTACTGTCCGGCTCTGGTAAACGCTAACCAGCTATTTAAATGTTGAGCAGCCAGCTCATTGGCTGCAGATGTGATGTGAACATCCAAAGTTTCATGACAGAACTTGGTATGTATATGTTATCATAGTATTTAGTAATATTTTGAATTGGATTTTATTTTTATATTTTCAGTTTTCATTTTATGTGTAGTAATTTTGATATGTACTTTTGACTTAGACATTTTTATTAGTTTTTTTATTATTATTATTTAATAAATAAGCAGTCTTCATATAATGTACATATGTATTGACACACTTATTGATCACTGTAGATTAGTTGTGTGATCACCAGCATGAGGTATGTTTTGCATGCTGGGCCGAACATGGTATGCTGGTCACCAGCATGGGAAGCAGGAGTGCGGTTTGATCTGCTACACCAGCTCATTTTTGCTTGAGTGCAGCATGACTCTCCTGACCTGATCCACCTGTTCTAACCAGCATAAACCAACATGGAATTCCTGCTGATTTATGCTGGATTTCTCAGTGTAGGGTTCCCTGTAAGGCCCGCTCATATAAGAGGTTTGTATCAACAAAACTAAACAAAAACTTGGAAGAGTAAATAAAAACTCCAGGCGAACAAATCCAGATCAGCAAAAAGGAACATTGCAAACTGAAAAAATAGTTAACTCTGGATGTTTTTTAATTAAAGACCAAATCTATAGTTTTTATCATCCTTATATTTGTCTGTCTCTCTCTTTCTACAGCCACAGTGAATGTCAGTATGAGATGTCGTCCCTCAGTGCTAGCTTCGTTCAGATCCGCTTCGATGACATCCGCTTTTATGAGAACTGCGGTGGTGGGAGTTTTGGGAGTGTGTATCGGGCACACTGGATCTCACAGGACAAAGAAGTGGCTGTCAAAAAACTGTTGAAAATTGATGATGAGGTTAGTTCAGATGAATTTATTGTCATTTTAGCTTCTTATTTTTATTTGAGCTCAAATGACCCAACTCAAGTCAATAGGCTTTATGCACAGCTGCACTACTTCCTGAACTTCAGCCAGCTCCTTTGTTTCCTGTCTGCCATTATTGGACAAACTGATTAATCCAGGTGTGCCTGATTATTGTTACTGAGGCCAGGCACACCTGGATTAATCAGTTTGTCCAATAATGGCAGACAGGAAACAAAGGAGCTGGCTAAAGTTCAGGAAGTAGTGCAGCTGTGCATAAAGCCAATTGTATTTGTACAGCGCTTTATACAATACACATTGTTTCAAAGCAGCTTTAAAGAAAATCATGATGTTAATGTTTATAATATCTTAATATCTTCTACCTTATAGTTAGCAAATTAGAGCTGGACGATAATATAGTTTACATTTTGTGACAATATAAACAATCAAGCAATTGAGATTTGCTATTTTGATAAATCTACAGTCTGTTATCAGCAACATTCACACACACCGCATCAGAATATGGTTGTCAGGCCTGTTTGAAATGCTAAATGCAATTGTGTTCAAGCACAGTCCAGTTTGTTTTGAAAGTGAAAATGTGCGTACTATGCAACAGAATATGCAAAAAGCAATACATCAAATCAGCAGGATTTCCGAATACTCACTATTCATGAAACGTAAGGCGAACAATACCAGACGACATCCTGCATCCATTGAGTTTTTAACATGCTATTGCTAATGTAACCCCTCCAGTTCCACTCACGATCTTACTAGCTGGCCTCCGTTGCACTAGCATCATGTATACAGAAGATACATTGGTCAAAAAGTAAATTCTTTATCAAATTTAGTACATAATCCAAATGTTCAGGAATTTGGACGCAGCCTGTGTGAATGTAGCCATTGTTACATCATTTCCTGTCTTCCATCGATCCATCAGACTTGTTTATTTGCATGAGAGCGGGGGAGTGTAAGGATCTACAGTTTTCCATGACCGTCTCTCTTTTTTCCCCATCATCTCTCCCCCGCCTTTCTCTATTTCTCTTTGTCTAAAGTCAATTTGATATACTGTAAGTGTAAAATGTAGCATCTTAATGTGGGTTTGCAGGCGGTGTGTGTTACTGTCAGTGTTAATGCATGCTCAGCAGCACTGCCAGAGTCTGTTCCACTGTTTACTGGAGTTTAGCAGCTTTCCTGGCTGATGCCATTCAGTTCGAGTCCCAGCGGACATGTCCCACAATACTGCTAATGGCTCCATGTTCACGTACATTTCTAGTGTAATATTTGACCTCGACATACTGTAATGAAAAAATAGTTTTATGACATTGATGCAGCACTCATTTGAGCCTCAGTGTTTGACCGCAGTCTGGTGACTTTCACCTCGGCATCTGTTTTTTTTTCTTTTCTTCACCTCGTCCAGGCTGAGATTCTGAGTGTCCTGAGCCACAAAAATATTATTCAGTTCTACGGAGCCATGCTGGAAACACCCAACTATGGCATTGTCACAGGTAATAATTAAATGTTTCAGTTTCATAACCAAACCAAACCTGTTTCACCAACAAATGTTTTATTGCTCTTAAAATGCTCATGACAATTTTTTAAAATGTTTTTGAAAGTGTCATTTATTTGATCAAAAACAGATATATTGTGAAATATTATTACAATTTAAATAAGTGTTTTCTATTTGAATATATTTAAAAATGTAATTTATTCCTTAGATGGCAAAACTGAATTTTCCAGTCTTCAGTGTCACATGATCCTTCAGAAATCATCTTTCTAATATGATAATTTGCTGCCCAAGAAACATTTTTTTATTATTATCAATGTTGAAAACAGTTGTGCTGCTTCATATTTTTGTGGAAACTGTGATACTACCTTTTAAAAGTTTCGGGTAAGTAAGATTATGGGCTAAGTGACAGTAAAGAAATGTGTAAAGTTACAATTCAATACATCCATTCAATTCTGCTGTATATTCATCAAAGAATCCTGAAAACAAGTATCACAGTTTCACCAAAAAATATTAAGAAGCAAAAATAGTTTTTAACATTGATAATAATAAGAGCCATTATCAATAATTGAGCACCATTAATAATTGGGCACTAAATCATCATATCAGAATGATCTCTGAAGGATCATGTGACACTGAAGACTGGAGTTATGATGCTGAAAATTCAGCTTTACCTTCGAAGGAAGAAATTGCATTTTAAAGCTGCAGTCTGTAGCTTTTTTGGGTTAAAAATTATTATTAAAGTAAATGTAGTCACGCAATGCTGATGTTGAACATTAACAACTTGAGAACAAAGTATAATTTGCACGGTTTTACGTGATATGATAAGCGATTGTTAGATGTAATCAGCGCGATTTACTGCAATGATTTTTTTCCCTTAGTTGGTCAGAACAAAAGTGGATGTTACTTGTTCAGATTAAATTTTCCGGTGAAAATTATATTACTGTTTTACTGTATTTTTGATCAGATAAATTCAGCCTTGGTGAGCTGGTGAGACTTCTTTCAAAAACATTAAAAAATCTAATTTATTCCAAGCATTTGACTGCTAGTGTATTTCTCTCAGTTATCGTTGAGATCTTGTCTACAACTTTTGTGAGAGGCAAGAGTTGTAAGAAGTCGTCTCCATTTGTTCTCCATTTCATCTCATTGCTGTCTTAGAGAAATAGATAAGATATTATAGAGATCTCCTTTGTGATTAGTCTTTCGTAAGGGATGCTATGATATCCCAAAAATGTAATACTGCCGTGCTTTGTGTGTAATCTGAGTGTGAGGAGAGTTCATAAAGAGGACACACGCACACTTAAACGCTTACACAGTTGTCTTGCCATTTTTTTAAACATCCTATTGTGATCTTTGTCTCCAGGGATGTAAATGTGCTTATGAGCAGATTTATGTGGCCTAATCATTTCTCGAGAGCATGTCTTTCAGCGGCTCTTCAGAGCGCTTGGTCAGCTGGGTATTCAGTAAATCTAACGTTTGTGCATGCTGTCATCTTCTAACTCCTGCTGCCAGCATCCGCTCCATGTGTGTGTGTGTGTGTGTGCAAATGGGAAACCCTGAGTCTGCTAAGCTGTGTTTGACTTCACTCGAGGGTTGGTGATAGATGATCTCATGTGTTGATTGACATCTCGACATGAGACTAGATTTTTGCTTGTTCAGCCTGCCTCTCTCACTCCTTGTCACTTCTCTATATGTAAAATTGGTTACAATAGATATGTTTCCATCCAAAGTTGCGAATTAAACTGGTGCGCAAAATTGGAATATCGCATAAAGCATTTGCAAATAAAGCGGCATTTCCATCCCATGTGTTCAGGAGAACATAATCAGCACTTACTGGGTGATTGGCGCAAAATATCTGTAATGATAATGGAAGTTTCTGGAATCGGGGAAGAAACTGTGGCTCTTTTTTTCCTTCATTATAAATAACAAAAAAAGCAATAAATGCATTTGAATGCCTGGTGTTTGTGAACGCAATCATGAGAGACGCTTCTGGGAGGTCATTAAACTAAATCATTTTGATGACAGGCTTTGGTTCAGGCATTTCAGAATGATCAAATCAACATTTGAGATGCTGTGCAATGAAATTGTCACAAAGTCACGTGAGTTTTTGTTGTGCATCAAGGGATTTATTTGTTAAATGTGTCTCCATCATAGTTTGCGCATGACACCTCAATTGAGTGCATACATTTTTTATGTGCATTTTTAGAATTTATTTGCATCATGTCGTTTCGATCCAGCGTTTTTTATGCGATATCTCAAAATGCGCATAAAAATAGGTGGTTGGATACATAGCTAATGACAAGCAATACACATTCATAAATGTTTAATAATTACACTAGCGTTCAAAAAGTTTGTGGTCAGTATGATTTTGTTTTTAAAGAAATTAATACTTTTATTGAGCAATGTATATGCTCAACATATATATATAAATGTTACAAAAGATTTCTATTTAAAAAAATGCTGGGTTTTTTTTACTTTCTATTTATCAAAGAATTCTAAAAAAAATGTATCACGGTATCCCCAACAATATTAAGCAGCACAACTGTTTTAAACATTGATCATAATAATAAGGAATGTATCTTGAGCAGAAAATCAGCATTCTAAAAAAGATCATGTGACGCTGAAGACTGGAGTAATTAACCGGAGAATAAATTACATTATAAAATATAATAAAAATAAAAACATATTTTACAAAAGTAGATTTTTTGTTTTACTGTATTTTTGTTTCAAATAAATGCAGCCTTAGTGAGCATAAGATACTTCTTTAGAAAACCAACTTTTAGTGTATATGAGGTCTACTTTTTTCTTAAAACACTACTTCAAAATTTACTGTGAAACTGGATTTTTTACATATTTTTTTATATTTTTATATTTTGGCATCCATATAACAATAGAATTATTTAGCTTTCACCTGCGATATATATCAGCTCCACAACATTTAGTTGACACATGTGATGATATGTATATGTGTGTGTTTGTGTTGTAGAATATGCCAGCAGAGGATCATTGTATGAATATTTGTCCAGTGCTGACAGTGAGGAGATGGATATGGGTCAAGTAATGACCTGGGCGATGGAAATTGCTAAAGGTATGTGTCTGTATGAATACATGTGTTTATGTAATGAGCTCAGCTCAGTCACATTTTCCTTATGAGCTAATGGCTGATACTGTGATTTGTTTCCCTGTAGGAATGCATTATTTACATGCCGAGGCCCCTGTGAAAGTCATTCATAGGGACCTGAAGTCAAGAAATGGTACGTTTTTAGCTGTGATGTGAGCAATTTCACAAGCAAAACATGATTATTACATACCAATGACTATTTTCTTTTCTCTCTATTAGTCGTGTTAACAGCAGACAATGTATTAAAGGTGTGTTTCCTGTTTTTTTTTTTATTCACATTCATATACACTGAACAAAATTATAAACGCAACACTTTTGTTTTGCCCCCATTTTTCATGAGCTGAACTCAAAGATCTAAGACCTTTTCTATGTACACAAAAGGCCTATTTCTCTCAAATATTGTCCACAAATCTGTCTAAATCTGTGTTAGTGAGCACTTCTCCTTTGCCGAGATAATCCATCCACCTCACAGGTGTGGCAGTATCAAGATGCTGATTAGACAGCATGATTATTGCACAGGTGTGCCTTAGGCTGGCCACAATAAAAGGCCACTCTAAAATGTGCAGTTTTACTGTATTGGGTATCTGGTCGTTATCTGGAGTGAAAAAAACAGTCAGTATCTGGTGTGACCACCATTTGCCTCACGCAGTGCAACACATCTCCTTCGCATTGAGTTGATCAGGTTGTTGATTGTGGCCTGTGGAATGTTGGTCCACTCCTCTTCAATGGCTGTGCGAAGTTGCTGGATATTGGCAGGACCTGGAACACGCTGTCTATACGCCGATCCAGAGCATCCTAAACATGCTCAATGGGTGACATGTCCGGTGAGTATGCTGGCCATGCAAGAGCTGGGATGTTTTCAGCTTCCAGGAATTGTGTACAGATCCTTGCAACATGGGGCCGTGCATTATCATGCTGCAACATGAGGTGATGGTCGTGGATGAATGGCACAACAATGGGCCTCAGGATCTCGTCACGGTATCTCTGTGCATTCAAAATGCCATCAATAAAATGCACCTGTGTTCGTTATCCATAACATACGCCCAGGGCCGTCGCTAGTGGGGTGAAAGGTGGTGACAATTATAGGGGCCCCCGCTGCCCAGGGGGCCCCACAAAATCCAGCAGTTATACTATTTAGGCCCCTGTTGTATGAATAATTCTAATATTTATGTTAGTTGTATGCCTGAGATTTAAATGAAAACCACAAAAACGTGCAATTTGGGTAAATATTTTTCCAAATATCTGCTTCTCTTACCTCCATAAAAATGGTTTAGTCCGACCTAAAGTATTTATTAATTATTCAGTCAGAGTCAGTGACAAACATCAGATGGACCCAATAAAATTGTAAGTCCCACCCCAGCTCGTGAACAGAACCAATCAGAGTTGAGGCGGCAGCCTGAAGATAACGATGAACTTGGTGGAAGAGCAGGAGACTGACTGACTGAAAAATGTCGGGGAAAAGAAAACATAAATCAGGTACCAGAAATGCCAGGAAAAGACGGAGAGGGAGGCAAGGAGAGTGGTTGTATCCCAGTCGATCAAGACGTTCTTAAAGACCGGTTATATATTGTTATTTCGCTGGGAATTAGAAAACTTCCGTCTACAGTCTGCCGTGTACAGTCATTTTTTATTATCGGTGCGCGCCGCAATCGACCTTTTTACACTATTGTAAATAGAGTTTTAAAAAAATTACACGAGTCACGACGCATTGCATTATGCATTTGACCTGCCGGCTGATGATATTTAAAACATCGAGAAAACACGAATGCAACACACTGCACTTGGATGAATAATTGTATTCGCTTTATTTAATAATATTACCAGTTCCATATTATCTTTATTAAAAAATAAGGCAATAAATGGTTTCATTTTTTTAATTAGACTGCATTCTTGTCAATTTCTAAATGTTTACTTTTTGATTTATGAATTATAACAGACTGATTGGGGGGAAAAAATATTACTTTTTAAAAATTGGTTTTATTATTATTTAACAATTTCTTGCTTTTTGTTAGTTTTTATTAGTTGTCATTTTTATATAAACATTTAACTTTTAAAATAAAGGTTTTACAACAACATCACCATCTTCTGTTATATGTAGGTCTCCATGTTCATCTATTGTACAGTATATGATATTGGTGGAGGGTGGTGGGGGCCCACATCAATATTTTTTCAGGGGGCCCCGAATCCAATAGCTACGTCCCTGCATACGCCTGCCCATACCATAACCCCACCGCCACCATGGGCCGCTCGATCCACAACGTTGACATCAGCAAACCTCTCACCCACACGACGCCTTACACGCTGTCTGCCATCTGCCCTGTACAGTGAAAACCGGGATTCATACGTAAAGAGAACACCTCTTCAAAGTGCCAGACGCCATCGAATGTGAGCATTTGCCCACTCAAGTCGGTTACGACGACGAACTGCAGTCAGGTCGAGACCCCGATGAGGACGGCGAGCATGCAGATAAGCTTCCCTGAGACGGTTTCTGACAGTTTGTGCAGAAATTCTTTGGCTATGCAAACCGATTGTTGCAGCAGCTGTCCGGGTGGCTGGTCTCAGACGATCTTGGAGGTGAAGATCCTGGATGTGGAGGTCCTGGGCTGGTGTGGTTACACGTGTTCTGCATATGTGAGGCCGGTTGGATGTACTGCCAAATTCTCTGAAATGCCTTTGGAGACGGCTTATGGTAGAGAAATTAACATTCAATTCACGGGCAACAGCTCTGGTGGACATTCCTGCAGTCAGCATGAATGAATGTGTTTAGGATGCTCTGGATCGGCGTATACGACAGCGTGTTCCGGGTCCTGCCAATATCCAATAACATTGCACAGCCATTGAAGAGGAGTGGACCAACATTTCACAGGCCACAATCAACAACCTTTTTTTTCTTTTATTCGGGGGGGGTGTCCCCCCCCCCCATACAGTAAAACTGCACATTTTAGAGTGGCCTTTTATTGTGGCCAGCCTAAGGCACACCTGTGCAATAATCATGCTGTCTAATCAGCATCTTGATATTGCCACACCTGTGAGGTGGATGGATTATCTCGGCAAAGGAGAAGTGCTCACTAACACAGATTTAGACAGATTTGTGAACAATATTTTAGAGAAATAGGCCTTTTGCGTACATAGAAAAAGTCTTAGATCTTTGAGTTCAGCTCATGAAAAATGGGGGCAAAAACAAAAGTGTTGAGTTTATCATTTTGTTCAGTGTATATTTATATATATAAAATCTAGGATTTAAACTGTGCCCAAAATATCAATGTGACTGTCACTGCATAATGCATTTTGTCTGTGTCAGATCTGTGATTTTGGAGCTTCTAAGTTGGTTTCTCACACAACACACATGTCTCTTGTGGGGACATTCCCTTGGATGGCCCCTGAAGTGATCCAGAGTCTACCCGTCTCAGAAACCTGTGACACCTACTCATACGGCGTGGTCAGTACTCATATTTATACATGAATGAGTGTGTGATCAAGTTTTTTTGAATGATCAAGTGTCATGGTTTCCACAAAAATATCAAGCAAAATAAATATTAAACTGTTTTCAACATTGAAAAGAAAGAAATTTAATTTGATCACCAAATCAGCATTATTAGAATGATTTCTGAAGGATCAAGACACTGAAGACTGGAGTAATGCTGAAAATTCATCTATTCCCATCACAAGAATAAATTAAATTTTTTTTTTTTTTTTTTATTACAGTGTAGCTCTTTTCCATATATACTGAAAACATAAAATGTCCACATATTGTGTAGCTGAAAGGGACAAAAAAACATAAAACTAGTCTATATAACTATATTATACTGTATAGCATATTGTATTTTAGAATTAGAATCAGTCTAAAGTCATTAAACTTATTTAAATGATTGTTCGTGCAAGGATATATACACAAGGCTGTGTGTCTATGTATGTTTGACTGTCTAAATGAATTATTTCAAGCACAGTCTGCATAACCTCCATTCCAAGTGTTGTTCACCCCATATATGCTTGTGTTGTGAAATATGCCCGCTTTGTTTTGTTTTTTTCTTTGCAGAGAGCAATGGCAGGACGTATGGACATTTATTGTCTAATTTGTGGTTGGTCTTGCAGGTTCTGTGGGAGATGTTGACCAGAGAAGTGCCATTTAAAGGTTTTGAGGGTTTGCAGGTGGCCTGGTTGGTGGTGGAAAAACATGAGGTACTGCACAGTATCCCACAATCCCTCAGTGTTCTTAAGAGACGAATGTTAATACTGTAGAACCACCACATGAATCAATGTTTACAATGTTAGTGTAGTTATATATTGCTGTTAAAGTGTGCCAGTTTTCCTATGAATATATGTCCGTGTCATACATTGTTGATGTCCTGGAAGACTCTTTCCTTGGCTTTGTTCCAAGACCTAGTGAACTGCCCTCTGCCCTACATAGACAGCTGCATCCTAACTAGAATAGAACCTCATAAACAGGCCCATATGAAATCTGTCCCCACAGAACTCAGAATTCCAGAATTTGAGCTGTAATTCACACATCTCCCTTGTTTTTTAATGCATCACATTTTGCCTGATTTGATCATGCAATCAACTACAAATAGGAGTGTGGTACTCTCAGATCCATTTAAAACATGGGATGTGCTCCGGAGTGACCATTACAGTCACCGTAGATTTCATTAGAGTTTGTCATTAGCATGCTGCTAAGCTAATGACACAATACTCAGAGAGCATAAAAATACATAACACATAAATGTCGAACAAACTAGTCCACCTTAATTAGACTGAACTACTTTAAGCAATACTTTTCAATACTAAATACTAAGAGTTCCTTTCACTGGAACTAAGGGGCCACGCCCAACCCCTAAAAAACAACCCCACACCATAATCCCCCCTCCACCAAACTTTACACTTGGCATAATGCATTCATGCAAGTACCGTTCTCCTGGAAACCGCCAAACCCAGACTCGTCCATTGGATTGCCAGACAGAGAAGCGTGATTCGTCACTCCATAGAACACGTCTCCACTGCTCTAGAGTCCAGTGGCGGCGTGCTTTACACCACTGCATCCGACGCTTTGCATTGCACTTGCTGATGTAAGGCTTGGATGCAGCTGCTCGCCATGGAAACCCATTCCATTAAGCTCTCTTACGCACTGTTCTTGAGCTAATATGAAGGCCACATGAAGTTTGGAGGTCTGTAGCTATTGACTGCAGAAAGTTAACTACTTTTGCGCACTCTGCGCCTCAGCATGCGCTGACCCCGCTCTGTGATTTTAAGTGGTAGTGGCCTACCACTTCGTGGCTGAGTTGCTGTTCCCAATTGCTTCCACTTTGTTATAATACCAATTACAGTTGACCGTGGAATATTTACCAGTGAGGAAATTTCACGAATAGACTTACACAGGTGGCAACCTATCACAGTACCACACTTGAATTCACTGAGCTCCTTAGAGCGATCCATTCTTTCACAAATGTTTGTGGAAGCAGTCCGCATGCCTAGGTGCTTGATTTTATACAACTGTGGCCATGAAAGTGATTGGAACACCTGAATTCAAGGATTTGGAGGGGTGTCCCAATACTTTTGGCAATATAGTGTATGTCAGAAGAGCTTTTTAGCAAATATTTATTAAACATTCAGTCTCCTCCACTGACCAGTTTGTAAAATGTAAATATGTAAACTAAACAAATGTAAACATATGCGTCATGGCACTGCGTGCTGTGAGCAAGGTATTTTCGAATCCGATTGAGAAAATGGTTGAATTTAAGTTTTGACATGCTTAATTTTTTCCTATAGATCGGATTATTTCAGGTCTACACCACCCCTTCCAATCCATTTGAAATTTAATTTGGAGGTGTTTACATTAAGGGTTCAGTTCGATTCCCCATCGCATTCCTCACAAATGCTATATGTGATGCTTCCCAAGAATTTTGGCTTAAAGAATGTATTTTAGAAGGTTAATTACGCTGATTAAGTTTTCAAACTTTGCATCTAGATCACATCTAATGATAACGTTTTGGAACTGTTGTGTTTTATGTTCATCTTATGGGTAATGGAACAGTATGATCATGGATTCCATTGCTTGCTTTAGTTGGATATTTATAGCAAACTGATCTAAAGGCTTCACTCTGTGCGTGTTTGAGAACCCCTTACAACTTTTATTGAGCGCTAGCATAAGATATATTGCAGTTCTCTTTATGCGTTTCTACCGTGATGCCATCAGATTAGACCACAGTGGTTTTAGTGCTGTAGGGGGACAGTCAGGAAACCTTTTTAGATAAACATCCCAGCCTGAGACAGAGAGGAAGGGAGAAAGTACTTATAAGAGAAAATGTTGGCGAAGGGTAGTGGGAGAGGTCAAACGATGGATGAAAAGATATTTTCGTTTATGTTAAATTCCCTGAGGGAAGGAGCAGTTTCCATTCTCTCGTGGGCTCTTGATTATGTGGTGTGCTAATACAGTTTGTCCGAAATACCGGTAATACTGTGTGCAATATATTTACTAGAGCTGGTTTTCTATTGGACGAGCCACTTTGACAGTATTACATTCCTACATGTGTGGCTTATCAAAAAAAAAGTCTCCATTACAGCTTCTCTCCTCACATGCTCTTAAAGTTCCATTATCTTGAGTGTGAACTCAATTTTATCACTTCGTAGTGTAAACAGCACCCATGTAAAAGCTCTTTGTTAATCCTTATATACCAGTTATGATATATCAGACTCTTTGAACATGGAGATATACGCTTCATTTGACTTGTGATGTAAACTTAGCCCAGAGGAGCGCTTTGCAGCAGTTGTGTTGGGAGCTTAAGCTGGACTCGTGCTAAAATTAGGATTTTATGTAATGGCTGCTATAATGGGTTTTTGAAATGGATTCTAATGTGTGTGCATGTGTCTGTGGTATTTGTGTGGGTTATGTGTTCCAGAGGCCGACCATTCCCAGCAGCTGTCCCGCCAGCTTTGCAGACCTGATGAGATGTTGCTGGATTGCAGAGCCCAAGGTATTTGGTGGGACTGAGACGAAATGTAATACATACAGTATGATGCTCAGGATCACTAGAAACTCTTAATATAATTAGTCATTCAGCGGGTGCTTTTATCCAAAGAGACTGACAAGTGAGGAACATCTGTTCAAATGATGTCTTAGGGATTTTCACAACAAATCAAGATTTTAAAATGAAACTGCATCTTTGTCTTTTGACAAAATGACTTAATCTTCACATCAAGTCCAAAATAACATGGCCTACTGCATGAATCAGGCAGGTTGTTCTTTTTTTAGAGAGTGGAGAATTAGTGTATTTCTTTCAAGGAAAGGTGAAAATAATATGTGAACAGTTTCATTGCAATTTTTTGCTGTTGTTGCAAACTATGCAATTTATTCTCAGTTCAGTGTACACAGGTCTTAAAGAGGCTATATTATGCCCTTTTACAAAGTCTTGATTTTGTTTTTGGCGTCTACTAGAATAGGTTATCATGCTCAAATGTAAAACAACAAAACACATTATTTTTCACATATTTGACATTGTTGCAGCTCCTCTCTTCCCAGTCTGTCAGTAACGTTCTGTTTAGTTCCTGTCTCTATGAAGCCCCTCCTTTTGAAAAGAGCAATGTGCTTTGATTGGCCGGCTGAACCAGTGTGTTAGTCAACCATTTCGGAAATGTCACACCCTTTACCATAACCACAAGTTTTAACACACTATTAGCGCAACTCAATCAGGCCTCGCCCCTTTGAGCAGGATTTATTTAAATGGGGAAAATTATGACGTGTTTGTTCCCAAAAAGAAACAATTTGAGACAGGATGAGTTTATAATTATAAGGCTTGGAAACAAACATACTTTTGAGTTAGCTGCTGTATTACATAATTAATGTGCTAATTAAAGAATTACCTTAATAAATGCGCTCTGTCATCTCCAGGAAAGGCCACAGTTCAAACAGGTCCTGAGCACCCTAGAGACCATGAAAAATGACAGCAAACTGCCAGACCAGTGCAACTCCTTCTTACATAACAAAGCGGAGTGGAGGTACGTACAGTCCACAATTCGTTGGCAACTTTTTTTGTTCTGAAGTGTTCAATAAAAAAAAAAAAAGTATTTAAAAATGTAAACATTAAGAGTTGTTTTATTTGTTCACAATTAAGGTTATAATTGTCAAATAAATCAAAATAAAGTTGCCAAATGATGTTAAATAGTTGCACATGACACAAGCTTGATTCACATGTACTCGTATCCTAACTCTAAAAAGTGTATACTTTGGGCACATATAACAATCAATAGCCAATTTTACACAACCCACAAAAATGAAAACCAGGTTTGGCATAAACTGTATAAGAGCCATGAACAATGTGGAAATTACTGAAGAAAATGATTTCAACTATCCGTTGATTTGTAAAAACTAGCAAAGCAAGTGTTTATGTACACTTATGAGGTATTTTGGAGTTTAAAAGCAGAAATATGAAGCTTGTATAATTCTGAAATTATTATAATTATTTTAACTTGTATTGAACTTTGCACTTGCTTTTAAACATTTGTAAGTAGCAAGACTAGGTTTTGTTTCTATAGAGGGACAAGTTGCAAGATAAAGACACAAATGGAGGAAACAAACACCATGAGTGCTGGACTTCAGCAGAGCTGCAGTGCATGAAGGGAGAAATGAACTGAGGAATGGAAAAAGAGAGCGAGTGGGGAGGAAGAGGGAGGGTGAGACATTCTGGAAACGCTCCTCATGAGAGTGGTAGAGAAATCAATTCTAGCAGGAGGAAGGTTTTGAGAGTGTGTGTGGAGAGGTTTTGGCAGGGGCTGATATGGCTTTTGAGGGCAGAGGGGTTGAGGAGGGGGGTGGGGAGAATTCTGGCCTTCCTTCACATACTGGTTTATAAATAGCCACACTAAAGACTTGTGTGGGGGGTTTTATTGTTTAGCGTACAGTGCCACCTACTGGCACAGAGAGAAATTGCAGACAATTGTGAGGTTTTTTTAGGTCAAAGATGCATTTTGGTGTAATAACAAAATGATTATTCTCTATTTTTATGCATAGGTTAAATGTGTTGTTAAATCGTCCTGTCTTCTGTCTGTAAGGTGTGAGATAGAGGAGACGCTGGAACGCTTGAAGCAGCTGGAGAGAGAGTTGAGCTGTAAGGAGCAAGAGCTGGCGGAAAGAGAAAGAAGACTGACAGAGTGGGAAAACAGACTCATGGAAAGATCCCGATCCTGCACTCCTGTAAGCCTTCACCATTCTGTGTTCAAAATAACTACTCATTCTGCAACCACACTTTAGTGCTTACTATGTACTACATAGTACGGTATATAATATTGCTATCCAGAAGGGGTGAGTTTGAGAATCCTCATTATTACCATTATTATATTACAATTCTGTTTGATGACACTAGTGAACACTTTTATGAAGTTTGTCAAAAATGTAATACAAATAATGATAATGTGGATTCACAATTATTCTGTAATTGGACCGACAAACCGATCCAAAACTCCATTGATTGGGCCAGATGCTGGTCTGGATGTTTAAATAGTGTCACGGTGTTTATACTTTCTGATGGAAATCCACCTATGAATGACTTATTTGTCTCTGCATGTTAATCTGAGATAGGATAAAGAAGAAATGACACAGTACACACTATGATTTTAATCAGGAGTTTTATATGATACCCCATACAATACAATGCTCAGTAAGTTGCTGACATTGTCGTGTTTTCACATGACCTGCAGCACTCCTAAAATGTAGGAAGTCACAAAAGAGTAGTGCAACTTTAACAAAGACTGGATCAAACAAAACTTTTCTTTTGTGTGCAGCATTAGTGGTAGTGTGCTTTGACTGTGTTGTGGGAATTTTGGCAGACATAGTAGGTCATGTGCACAGAGAAAATCTGCATAATACAGTATCATGCCCTTGTGAGAAAGAAGCATACTTTTAAAAAAGAAATAATATACTTTATTGAAATGTTTGTTTTCAGACACTGCATATTAATTGCCATTAAATTAAAATGTATTCGATTTTTGAGTAGGACTTAAAGGGATACTCCACTTTTTTTGGAAATAGGCCCATTTTACAACTCCCCCAGAGTTAAACTGTTGAGTTTTACCATTTTTGAATCCATTCAGCCGATCTCCGGTTCTGGCAGTACCACTTTTAGCATAGCTTAGCATACATCATTGAAGTGGACAAGACCATTAGCATTTCTAAAAAAAAAAATGACCAAAGAGTTTCGATATTTTTCCTATTTAAAACTTGACTCTTCTGTAGTTACATCGTGCACTAAGAAACTTTTATACTCTCATTCATGCATAATAATCAAGAAACTTTACTGCCGTACCATGAGAGCAGCAGGCGTAGTGATATGACGCAGCGCCTGAAAATAGCAAGGGGGTAATACATCGACCGGAAGTTGAAGCCGGCCGGGTACCGCCATCTTGTAGCAGAACTTCACTTGCGTTAGCATTCCCATTGACTCCCATTCATTTTGGCGTCACTTTGACAGCGAATAACTTTACATCTGTGGCGTTTAAAGACTCCATTTGTCCATTATTTATTTCTAAAGAAACACGACAATGTATAAAGGGCTCCATTACCTCCTATGTTACATTATGGCCCCGTAGAAACAGTTTTTGTAAAAATAGGCTAACGATTGCGTCATAACCACTCGACTCTCTGTCGCGCTGTACAGAAATTACCGTACAGACAGGAGGAGAAGCTCGCAGGCAATCGGGGGGACGTCCCGTCAAGGGAGAAGCCCATAGATAATGAGTCCATAAAAGCAACGGAATACTTACTCCTGCTCACTCACGATAAAGAACTCTTTGCTCAAGTTCCCCGTCTCTGCAAGATTAACGTTGGCCATTTTCACGCACAGCTACAAGAAGATTAACGTCTGTCAGACAGGTTGCTCACGTCATCAAGCTTAGTTTGAGTCGGTTTGAGTCTGCGCGTCAGGAACGGAAGTGCTCAAAAAACGCTAAAAATGGGCTTCAACTGTCTCAACTGAGTTCCAATGAGATGGCTCTGTCCACTTCTTATACTGTCTATGGAAAATAGGCTACCTTCCGTCAACACAACGGAACTATTTTCAGGCGCTGCGTCATATCATTACGCCTGCTGCTCTCATGGTACGGCAGTAAAGTTTCTTGATTATTACGCAGGAATGAGAGTATAGTTCCTAGCCATATCACCCTAGAAAATCGCAACTTTACATTTTCCGTCGGTCTTAGTGCACGATGTAACTACAGGAGAGTCTAGTTTTAAATAGGAAAAATATCGAAACTCTTTGGTCATTTTTTGGGGGGGAGTTGTAAAATGAGCCTATTTCCAAAAAAAGTGGAGTATCCCTTTAAATACCTGTCTTTGAAATATTGAAATATTGAAACTTTTATTGTATTTAAATATATATGTAATTGCACATTAGTAATGATGAACTTCTAATTTGGTAAATATAAAATATTAACTTTAAATGTAGTATCGAATAACACATTACAGTTAAAATTACAATCATGTACTTTGCATGTGCTTTAGAATGTTAGTCAAGTCACATTTATTTATATAGGGCCTTTTACAATACAGATTGTTTCAAAGCAGCTTTACAGAGATAACAGGAAAATAATGCAACAAACTTTGTTTCCAGAAGAAAATAGTGTCACTGTCCAGCTTAAGTAAGTTCAGGGATGTTTCATTTTTGTTGTAAAAAGTTATTAATTAATTTAGTTAATTTATATATATATATATAGCCGCTCTGGAGAAAACCGTGATGTCATCATCTAGCTCAGTTCAGTTCTCATATAATGGTGTCAATGCAGGCAGATCAATAATAGTGTTGAATATTAAATTAAATGTTAAATTTAATGTCCCCAACTAAGCAAGCCAAAAGCCAATGGGAAAAAAGGCGACAAAGACGACAGTGGCAAGGACCCAAAACTCCATCAGGTGACAGAATGGAGAAAAAAACCTTGGGAGAACCCAGACTCAGTCAAGATTAAAACAAGTGTACTACTTTAAAGCATGACAAAAGATTATTAATACATTTTTAAAGTGTACTTAGGAGTGATAAGAAACAGTCATGAAAGTGTATTCTAAGAAAAATGTACTCTCTTAAAGGGATAGTTCACCCAAAAATGAAAATTCTGTCAGTAATTACTCCCCCTCATGTTGTTCCAACCTCGTAAGACTTTCGTTCATCTTCGGAACACAAATTAAGATATTTTTGATTAAATCTGAGAGCTGGCTCACTCCTCCACAGGCTTCTATTGTAATTAAAACCTGCCGGCCCAGAAGGTTAGTAAAGACATCGTTAAAATAGTCCGAGTGACTACAGTGGCTCCACTATAAGTTTATCAAGCGACGAGAATACTTTTTGTGCGCAAAACCCCCCCAAAATAACGACTTTATTCAACTATTCATCTTCTTCTGTGTGGGCCTCTGAGTTCGTTCATGTAGTGTAACAGCGCAGCGCTTCTGTGTTGTACGTCACAGTGAGCCTATGTTCTCACGTCTCTGACAGGTTTCAATTACCTAGCAGCCTATGGAGGAGTGATCCAGCTCTCAGATTTAATCAAAAATATCTTAATTTGTGTTCCGAAGATGAACGAAAGTCTTACGGGGTTGGAACAACACGAGGGTGAGTAATTACTGACAGAATTTTCATTTTTGGGTGAACTATCCCTTTAAATAGCCTTTTATTTCATTAATACTATATTATCCGTTCTAAAGTATTTCTTTAGGTAGAAATGCTGTTTGTGAGTATCCCTGGTATCTCTAAAACTATTTTTTTTAATCTTTATCATGGAAAAATGAAATAATACCCTAGTGAAAAAAAACCTGTATTTAAAATACATTTATTTCATAATAAATAAACTACAAACCATTAATATATTTACAGACATATCGCTTGAGACTTACTGATATAAATATTATAATTAAACTTTATTTGTAGTACTTAATATTAAGCCTAAAATATGTTTTAATTCATAGATTTCATGTGACGTCACACAGTGGAGCGGCCGCCATTTGTAGGACCGAATTGCAACATGCCGTCTATCTGCTGTGCTGTAAACTGTGATAACAGCAAATCACAAAGATATGTTGAGAAATTAACGTTGACCTGGAAATTTAAATAAAAGTAAAATTAGCAAATTACAGGTTAGCTAGCTAAATTAAAACATGTAGTTTACAATTGGAACACTTACTCTCTATATACAACCTTATTCTAGACCGCTATCTATATTTACATTATAACCTTAGTTATACGTTTGGCTGAATTATGTTGTTGTTACCTGCTTCAGTATGCTAAACTACAGCTCACTGTTTCTGCCTTAATGCATTGTTTAAATTAATAGATTATTAGCTAACTGCATGATTTATATACATTGCTGAAATGCATAACTCGGACACTCTAAATTGTAATGTAGACACATGCATTTTCTAAAAAAGCTGCTTTGATTGTGAAAAGCGCTATACAAATAAATGAGAATTGAAAATAAAGGTGTCCAAACGTCACTGATAATACAAGAGATATGTGCTTTACCAACATTATTAGCAATTCAGTTCAGCGATGCTTTTATGTTCAGCGATTACTGGTGTAACGTTAATATTGCTTGATTAACAGAGTGCCACTTACCCTTCCTGTTATCAAGAAAATTTTCTTCATGGGGGCATTTAATACAACACTAAATCATAAATCAGATATACCTGTACAATAACATTACGATGTCCAGCAATCAATGTAAATAGTCCATTTAATTTAATTTGTTGTTTAATGAGATTCAAAATCCGACTATTTTACATATGTACTTTGATGGTCCAGTGGCGGAACTTTTGCCAAGCGTGTCAGAGGTTCTGGGTTCTAATCCGCCCTCGTACCCTTTTTTATTAAAAAACCCTTATTAAAATCGATTGTGTTTATCAGTGGTTGTATATCAGTCAGGAACACATGTGTGCATTTTATTTTGTGATTTCATTAAAGCGCGCGTCCGTGTGAAGACTGTGCGGTGTGCGCGAGTCACGTGAGAACACTGTTTCTGCACCACTGATCCAGAGTCAACAAGCACTTTGATCACTTGATTTAAAAAACAACACATTTCAGCGTGCTAGATCACCTCTTATTTTACTTTTATTTATGTGTATTGGTACATCCGTGCCGCGAGATGTTTCAAAAGTGGTGGGGACATGGAGAGGGATTGTGGACGAGGTAACGTTAGATGTAAATGTCAGCAAACGTAAAATTTGGCAAGTTTTTACTAGACTTTAGTGGAGTCAGCAGTTCGTTTAACAGTAAATACGGATCTATACCTAAAGTATCTATTTTATTTAAATACCGTTGCTTTTCATCTGTGCTATTTAAGTGTGCAACATCTTTCCGATCACCAGGGAGAGATTATGCGATTTAACGCAATGGTCCTAAAGATGGCGGCCACAACAAAAAAGTCACGTGACTGAAACCCATGAATATCACTATTAGTAAGGATCGTATGATCTTTGTATAATATGTAAGATATTTAAAGTGTACCTACAATCAAGTATATCTTTAGTTGGACCTCAGCACTATTTCTGGATAACTAAAGTGCATTAAGTACAAAATTAGTTGTTCCAATTTAGCAGACTTTAAGTATATATTTAGTATACTAAAAGTGCAATTGCATGATATTTATATTAAGTACATAAATATAAATGTATTTGTAGTATACTTAGTGTAAAATGTATTTCAAAAACATTTTAATATATTTTATTTTTCACTAGGGTATGAGCACTGTAGTATCCCATTAACCTAAATGTAAGTGTTCAAGCGCATTTCCACCATCTACAAACTTTTAATTGACCTCACGGTTTTGTTTTTTTTGCAGCTGTTTTCACATATTTCCCCCTTGGCAGCCACTCTCAGTGCCGAGTCCTTCTATGAGGCTCACATGGAGGAGAGCAATAGCTCGGAAGTCAGCTGTCAGATTTCATCAACCTGCAATAACGGGGATCTGGGCCAGGCCAGCCTACAGAAGCTCATGCTAGGATTCGGGGGCGTGTTTGACCTGGATATGAACATTCCCAGCGGTAACCTCGTCAGCCAATCAGGGATGCAGTTGAACATGCAAGCAAAAAAGAATTCCTCCAAGTCCTGCAGTGTCCGTGAGGGACGCAAACTGAACATGGCCATCACCATGGATGACTTTGGCTGGTCTGACGACGACAGCGATTAGTGGAGGGCGACACGGTACGATAGGGTGGGGTTAGATGGGGTCACAGCCGGAACGAGATGGGGTCACCGGAACGAGAGGCTGGGGTTAGATGGGGGCACAGCCGGAACGAGAGGGTGGGGTTAGATGGGGGCACAGCCGGAACGAGAGGGTGGGGTTAGATGGGGTCACAGCCGGAACGAGAGAGTGGGGTTAGATGGGGGCACAGCCGGAACGAGAGAGTGGGGTTAGATGGGGGCACAGCCGGAACGAGAGAGTGGGGTTAGATGGGGGCACAGCCGGAACGAGAGGGTGGGGTTAGATGGGGGCACAGCCGGAACGAGAGAGTGGGGTTAGATGGGGGCACAGCCGGAACGAGAGAGTGGGGTTAGATGGGGGCACAGCCGGAACGAGAGGGTGGGGTTAGATGGGGTCACAGCCGGAACGAGAGGGTGGGGTTAGATGGGGTCACAGCCGGAACGAGAGGGTGGGGTTAGATGGGGGCACAGCCGGAACGAGAGAGTGGGGTTAGATGGGGGCACAGCCGGAACGAGAGGGTGGGGTTAGATGGGGGCACAGCCGGAACGAGAGGGTGGGGTTAGATGGGGGCACAGCCGGAACGAGAGGGTGGGGTTAGATGGGGGCACAGCCGGAACGAGAGGGTGGGGTTAGATGGGGTCACAGCCGGAACGAGCGGGTGGGGTTAGATGGGGTCACAGCCGGAACGAGAGAGTGGGGTTAGATGGGGTCACAGCCGGAACGAGAGGGTGGGGTTAGATGGGGGCACAGCCGGAACGAGAGGGTGGGGTTAGATGGGGGCACAGCCGGAACGAGAGGGTGGGGTTAGATGGGTGCACAGCCGGAACGAGAGGGTGGGGTTAGATGGGGTCACAGCCGGAACGAGAGAGTGGGGTTAGATGGGGTCACAGCCGGAACGAGAGGGTGGGGTTAGATGGGGTCACAGCCGGAACGAGAGAGTGGGGTTAGATGGGGGCACAGCCGGAACGAGAGGGTGGGGTTAGATGGGGGCACAGCCGGAACGAGAGGGTGGGGTAAGATGGGGTCACAGCCGGAACGAGAGAGTGGGGTTAGATGGGGGCACAGCCGGAACGAGAGGGTGGGGTTAGATGGGGTCACAGCCGGAACGAGAGGGTGGGGTTAGATGGGGGCACAGCCGGAACGAGAGGGTGGGGTTAGATGGGGTCACAGCCGGAACGAGAGGGTGGGGTTAGATGGGGGCACAGCCGGAACGAGAGAGTGGGGTTAGATGGGGGCACAGCCGGAACAAGAGGGTGGGGTTAGATGGGGTCACAGCCGGAACGAGAGAGTGGGGTTAGATGGGGTCACAGCCGGAACGAGAGGGTGGGGTTAGATGGGGGCACAGCCGGAACGAGAGGGTGGGGTTAGATGGGGTCACAGCCGGAACGAGAGGGTGGGGTTAGATGGGGGCACAGCCGGAACGAGAGGGTGGGGTTAGATGGGGTCACTCACAGCCGGAACGAGAGGGTGGGGTTAGATGGGGTCACAGCCGGAACGAGAGGGTGGGGTTAGATGGGGGCACAGCCGGAACGAGAGGGTGGGGTTAGATGGGGTCACTCACAGCCGGAACGAGAGGGTGGGGTTAGATGGGGTCACAGCCGGAACGAGAGGGTGGGGTTAGATGGGGTCACAGCTGGTCCAAGGTCAAATATCAAGAAAATCAATTTCCAACAGTTGTCATTAAAAGTTTAAAGTGTAAAGATTGAGCTGAATATTTTAAAAGATTGTTGCACCCATGTGTGGTATGTTTCAGTGCAAAAAAAAACACATTTTATTATTATTTGATCTAGTGCAAAATATTACACTGCCCTGTTAGCAGTAGGGCTGTTTTCTGAATATACCGGCTAACCAGTACAAATACCCTATGTGATAAATATCAAACACGATGAATGATACTGCATTGTAATTGGAAAGATACAGGGTACTTCATAAATGCCCATAAATGGCAGGATTTACCAGCGGTAGGAGGGATTTACCTCTGCCTCCTCTGAGTGAAACACCAGATCATACCGAGATTTCCCCTGTGAGTCACATTTACAATATTTATAAAGTGTGGGGTGAGATTAAATGGGATTTCTGAAGCTGTGTTTTTGTAAAGCCCTGAAGTTTTTATAAAATAAAGGAAATACTGAACAACTTGTGTGAAATGGGTCAAACTGCAAGGGAACATTTCCACCTAAAAATCTGTAAGTGGGACAAAATATTATAATTCACTCGCATAAGTTCTTTCAAAACTTCCATCAAGGAATTATGACTTCAGCCTTTTTGCTTTTATCCTAAAACCGCTTAATTCATGGTGCTTGCTAAGGCAAGACTGTTACTATCGCTCAAACTTAGGTTTATGGATTTAAACAAACCTCTAACCCCAAGTATTACATTTCAGCTCTAAACTTGTCCAGCATTGTTTGTGGTATGACTCTAAATGATACATCAAATTATGTGACAGATAAAAATAATGCTGACCTATTTAAGAACAATAATATAAGGTGAGGTATTTCTACTATAATTCTGACAAAGCTGCTAGCTACTTGTTTTTAATGCTTTTTTATAAACTAGGACTCACACAGTAAGTTATTGTGGCAAAAAAAAGAATATTATTTCTTAATTTTACTTAATTTCTTTAGCTTTTTTATTATTTGTACATATATATATATATATATCAGTGCTGTCAAACCGATTAATCGTGATTAATCGCATCTTACATAAAAGTTTTTGTTTACATGTGTATGTTATTATATTTCTATATATTATATACAGTATGTGTGCATATCTGTACATATATATATACACACACATACAGTAAATATGTGTGTATATACAGTATATATATATATATATATATGTGTGTGTATATAAATCTCACATAGAACTGCACATGCTTTTCATTAGCCTTACAAAAGTTAACTTAAAACTTAACTTACAAAAACTGATATTTTTCTGCTAGTTCTTCATTACAATCCTTATATTGTACACACGATGCTTGGTCTGGTAGTTAGTTTTGTGGTATCCCTCATAGCTGTATGTTGTGTATACAGAGGCTCATGTTTAGTGCTGTGTGTGGCCACTGTGTGATCCACTGAAGGTTTATGTGTGGGTGTGTTTGTTCCCAGCACAGAGATCCTTACTCTTCTTTCACAAGTAAGACAAACACACAACCCTATTCATCGCTAGTGCATGTGTAATCTGTAAACTATATCCAAAGCAGGAGACTGCATAAGAAGATTAGCCTGCCTGTGTCGAGAATATTATGTACTTTGGTTCAATGGCAGTCAATATAGAGCAGTGCGAGTCAAAAGTTTGGAGACACTTCACTAAATGTAGGTTTCTCATGATCTAAAGGATTCTGCTTAAAAGCTTTACATTAGTTTTGCAAACAAATATAAATTGTGGGAAGCTTTTAAAAGACTATTGGAAAAGTTTGCCATGTCAGATATCTCGGTTGCAAGAGTGTAACGTAGGAAAAGAGTGATGACTTAAAAGAAGCTTTTTACGTTTTAATAAAAAAATGTTTTTTAAATGCCACTGCATAATTACCATGCATAGGACAAGCTGTTTGGAAAATGGATGGATTATCACACATTTGTTTAGATTAATTCCCCAATTTAAAAAAATTATTCGTTGGTCTTTTTTTTTTACTGATACTGGAATTAAAATTGTGTGTACATTATTTAACAAAAAGGAAATTGTGATTTCAGTTGAGCAAGTTTCGTAAGCTAAAGAAAAATGAGGTTATTTATTTAAACCCTTCACAGTAATGTGCGAGTGAGTAGATGTATGTTCATTTGTCAGCATTTTAAAAACACAAATTCTGGGTAGTGCTTATAATACCGCTGATGCCATATTTCGAAGTCCCTGTGAAATCCCTTCTTCCCTTTTCTCTTAGTAACACTAATGCAGACATGACATGGTTGCTAACAAATTATCCATGTCATCTATGGTCAAATTTTGGCAAGGCCCAGTGTCCCACCTTATCAGATTACAACTGTTCACAAAGTCATACAAATATATTCGAGACAAAACTTTTAGAGACAAAAAAAGACAAATCACAGCAGATTTTTTTTTCATTTCATTTTAATTTAATAGGTTGACCGAATAAAAGGAACATTTTACTTCATGGAATGTGGTTTCATAACAGAACGTTTTACATATTAAGTCAGGCATGAGTTGTCTTGCTAGGTTTGCAAGGTTTAGTAAGCCATCAACTTAATACTCCTCTCCTTCTTCATCCTCTTCTCCGACACTGTCTGTGCCCACCTCTTCATAATCCTTCTCCAGGGCAGCCATGTCTTCTCTGGCCTCTGAGAACTCTCCCTCCTCCATACCTTCACCCACATACCAGTGAACAAAAGCTCTCTTGGCGTACATCAGATCGAACTTGTGATCCAGACGAGCCCAGGCTTCGGCAATGGCTGTAGTGTTGCTCAACATGCACACGGCTCGCTGCACCTTAGCCAGGTCTCCTCCAGGAACCACAGTCGGGGGCTGGTAGTTGATGCCAACCTTGAATCCAGTGGGACACCAGTCCACAAACTGGATGCTACGCTTTGTCTTGATGGTGGCGATGGCAGAGTTGACATCTTTGGGTACAACATCTCCACGGTACAGCAGACAGCAAGCCATGTACTTGCCGTGACGAGGGTCGCATTTCACCATCTGATTGGCTGGCTCGAAGCAAGCATTGGTGATGTCAGCAACGGACAGCTGCTCATGGTAGGCTTTCTCTGCAGAGATCACTGGGGCGTAGGTGGCCAGAGGGAAGTGGATACGTGGATAGGGCACCAGGTTGGTTTGGAACTCGGTCAGATCTACATTTAGGGCTCCATCGAAACGCAGGGATGCTGTGATGGAGGAAACGATCTGCCCGATCAGCCTGTTGAGGTTTGTGTAGGTGGGACGCTCAATGTCGAGGTTTCTACGGCAGATATCGTAGATGGCCTCGTTGTCCACCATGAAGGCACAGTCGGAGTGCTCGAGGGTGGTGTGGGTGGTAAGGATGGAGTTGTAGGGCTCCACCACCGCTGTGGACAC